CCCCCCCCCCCCCCCCCCCCAGAACTTTGGATTCTGCCTTGGCACTTGTCAGGCGCTCAGAGGGGACAACCCGTAAGACGAAAGCAAACTTCTTGTTATAGATTTTCCTTTACTCCATCAATTTAGCAAATGGGTCCTACCCGTTTGTCAATAAAAAAAGGACAAGCATGCATCCCAACATGGCCACAATTTTGAACGGAAGCAGAGTGCATGGCTTCTCTCAGTGGAATTCTTTTGTTGCTGTTCTTAATCTTAGCTTCATCCCATTCATGCAACATCTACGATGGCATCTCATTCGCAACGCTTGGAAAGAACTGAAGAACTGTCTTTGGCAAAGCAGGTCTTCGCAATGAATTTGTCGTTACCATGAAAAATTGCCTTCATGCCGCTGCTTTCTCGGCTAGATCTCTCATTCGAGGAACATTTGTCTGTTTCTTATATAAAGCGATTAATCAGATTGAAATCTCAAGGTGCAAGGGGAAGATGAACTTTAAAACGCTCACAAACAACTGTTAATGAGGCAGCTTAATGTTCGAGTACCCTATCTTTTTCCAGAAATAAATTTGTGACCTTCCTAAGAATCTGAGTTGCACATAACAACAAATCTGAACCTATCTGGATTATTATTATGTATGTGGTCTAGTGGCAAACGATGGATGGCCCAGGTATCGAATTTCCGATCGATATCCGCCCAGGCCACTCAAGCCTCCGATCCCTCTGGGGTTGGGGAAGTGGCCAGACTCGTCTGAGAGGATATAAGATTGATCTGCACATCAGCTGGCCACCGAAAGTTATTGTGAGTCGAATACCGGGTGCATCACAGAATCGGGATCGATCAACACTAGAAATTTCATCCATTACTCTTCGGTCTAGACTGTCGGAAATCGCCAGTGTGCTAATAAGCCATTGTCAATGGAATGGTGACTTTTGTATGACACCCTGAGCTCCATATCAGAGAGGACATCGAGCAGATGTTATTTGGCTATGATATATGGAAACCAATGTTCAATCATCTCGAATAAAGAGCGGGTAAAATCCCTCTCCTCTGTCTCTTGCTCCCCTTAGTTCTCATACATTTACGGTAAGAGCAGTTCTCAGACTAAGAGAACGTATTTTTGGATGGTTGGGATCACAGTCCGCTCACGACGTGCGGCGACTCGTAGCTAGTTGCCTCGCCGTGCAGCGATTCTCTCGGAACTTCTGACCCCCATCATGGTTTCACTTCAATGGTGACATCTGCTATACGATAGAGGGTATCTTGCGAGTCACGAATAAGCTCAAGTGGCCCTTAAGCTCCAATTACGAGTTCATACTACCACTGCATCGTCCACAGTAACTATTCAATGTCTAATATTACTGTAGGAAATTGGACACGTTCCAAATCTTCGTTCGTTCTTTTTAGCGCTGCCTGCATAGCGCCAGATACGTGGATGCAAACCTGTCTTGAGACATACTGCTAGGAAAAACTCACGTCTAATGTGCCCATCCGTCTGTTCTAAATCGACAACATTCCTTCATATGCTGTCGGAATGAATTTCCATCTGAAAAATCAGGAATTATAGCATCAAAGCACATTCCCGTCTACACGGATTTCTTGTCGATGGCGTTTTTCCACCACACAGGAGGAGTTGCCTGCCCACACCGAGATTTCACATACTGTTGAAATGTGTTGTTGACTTTCATTACATACTGGTCTTCATAGTAATGAAATTACCCTAGTACCCATGGGAATAACTGGCAAAACTACTAAAATGGCGAGCACATCCAAAATACAACTTGGATTACGAGGCGGAGAATGAGATGCGCTGTCTGTAACTGCCTTGCGACTAGCACGTGTTAATTCACGTCTAATAGTATGTCGGGCATGTGATAGATTTTACTCGTTTTTGGTGTTTTTCGCATATGTTTTTTGCTGTTGGTGTTTGTATGAATACACTGTGCATTAAGAAAGACTAAAAATGAGAGAAAGGTAGCTGTGGATGTGGAAAACCTGGAAGGTTTGGTAAGGGGCATGTGAAGAGAGATTTGTTGTTTGGAAAACTGATATAGTGTTCCAAAATGTTTGCTCGGCTATATAGTTTTGCGAACAACCATTCTTTTTAAACAATAGACTATCAAATTTGAAGCTTGCTGAGCGTGTTATGTACCTTGCTCGACGTGAACACAAATGAATTTTTAGTTATACCGGAAGAAAAGTTATAAACAAAGACGGACTATCCTACTTAAACCTCAATCCAGTTTCTATTTGGTCTGGCTTCTTCTTTATTGGGTCTGACAACCTTTGTGTGAAACGACAGTTATAGAACGGTACAACTATGGCAGAGTTACGCCTTGAAACGCTCTAGAGCGCTTCACAAAGGGTACATCCTAAATATAAAAGAAGCTCTAGACCTGTTCTCATTTTAACATTCGGTGGCTAAATTTGTCTTATAGCGATGGTATTTGCCCCTCAGGCCCTAAACTTTTAATAATTTGAGCTTGTTGCACCTACAGCAGATCTCTTCTCCTTATCCGTCTGCTTGCCTTTTATTGTTTGTCAAAATTAACTCGTTTTATATATGCTTCAGAAAGCAAACTGTTTGAAGAACGCCCTGACTTGATTGTTATGGGCGACGACTTCATGGACGACGACGAGGATTACGGTTTTGTGAGTAATTTAAGCTATTCTTCTTGTGGTTAAGTTAAGTGTAATAGCTCTGTTTACTTGATTTTCAAATTCCTTCGGATTTGAAAGTGTTCACTTCATGTCTTCTATTTAGGAATACGAAGATGACAGCGGAAGCGAACCTGACGTTGACCTTGAAAATCAGTATTACACCGCTAAAGGTCTGAAAAGTGAGGGGAAGATCAACGAAGCCATAGCGAATTTCGAGAAGGCAAGATTTGTTCGGAAACCCTCACATCAAAGTTATGTTGTGGCAGGCTTATTTCATCCATTCGTTTTTAGGTGCTCAATTTGGAGCAGGAAATGGGCGAGTGGGGATTCAAAGCTTTGAAGCAAATGGTCAAGATCACCTTCAACACCGTATGTTTCGAAGATATGCCATAGTTTTTAGTCTTTCATCACTTGGTGTTTTCAGAATCAATTCGAAGCGATGTTGGAATATTATCAGAAGCTTTTGAAGTACATAAAAACAGCTGTAACGAAAAATTATTCGGAAAAGTCTATAAATGCCATTCTGGATTACATATCCACTTCAAAGCAGATGGATTTATTACAGAAATTCTATGAAACAACATTAGACGCTTTGAAGGTTCGTGATGTCTGTTTTGTCGCATGTTCTTCTTCTAGCTGCTTTGTTGCCTTTATTTTTCCACATTAGGTGTGATGGTGTGAATTAATGCTGATTTTGAATGAATCTCTAATGGATTTGCGTTTAAGGATGCGAAGAATGAACGTTTGTGGTTCAAAACCAATACCAAACTTGGGAAGCTGTATTTTGATATGCGCGAATTCAACAAGCTCGAGAAGATTTTGAAGCAGTTGAAGAGTTCATGTAAAGTGGGTTTTGATTCATGCTTTAGGCTCTTTTTTTATTTTCTATGATTTTCTCATTTGTTTTCGACTTTTTTCCTTGTAATTCACTTTCATAGGTATATCATGCCGGTAACTAAACTTACACTTTCTTCGATTATCAGTGTTTCCGTCCGTGTTAGCCTTACGGGTTAATCGTTAGGGGAGTTCACTAAATTTTGGGGTCTCATGTGGCATCGTTGGCGATGTCTTATCACGATCGATTAAATTGCATTTTCCTGGCATATACGATAACCTCACTTACTTTTATCATCAGCCAGAAAGAAAGGAATTAAAGATTAGTCTTTTCTTTGCCTGCCGTACCTGAATTTGTAAAGTATAGTAATTGTTGCCTTTTTAATTCTTGATATTTCTCTCATGATGAGATTATTGTTCGTTCAGACAGAGTTAGGAGAGGAGGATCAGAAGAAGGGAACTCAGTTGTTGGAAATTTATGCATTGGAAATTCAAATGTACACCGAACAGAAAAACAACAAGGTACTTAGAGTTGTTTAATTCTACTTGTGACTTTTTCAGAGAGTGTATTGCTTTTCTTTCCTATTTTTCTTTCTGTTTTTCAGGCTTTGAAAAAATTGTACGAGCAAGCTCAACAGGCTATTCAATCAAAATCTGCCATTCCTCACCCGCTGATACTTGGTGTCATTCGAGGCAAGTGCACTGGATGCAGCTTTAAAGTTTAACTTGATTCATTATTTCCAACTCGGTCTCCTTACCCTTTCCCATTTACCGCCGTAAGTTGAGATATACTTACTCTGTAATCTGTCTTCAGCTTGAGAAGTTCAATTACTTCCTGATTTTTGCGAAAGTTCAGATTTTGATCCGTATAGCCCATGTTTTCAGAGTGCGGTGGCAAAATGCACCTCCGTGAAGGGCAATTCGACCGTGCTCATACAGATTTCTTCGAAGCGTTCAAGAACTACGACGAAAGTGGATCACCGCGACGAATTACCTGTTTGAAATATCTGGTATTGGCCAATATGCTAATTAAATCCGACATAAATCCTTTTGATAGCCAAGAAGCTAAACCTTTCAAGGTATGTTCAATGCACGCTTTCTAGTGAACATTGAGCCCATTTTTTCATTTCTTTCAATTTATTGTATTGAAGAATGAGCAAGAGATCGTTGCAATGACCGCCATGGTGTCTGCTTACCAAGAGAATGACATCGACGAATTTCAACGAATATTGGAAAATAATCGTGAAAGTATCATGCAGGATCCCTTCATTCGTGAACATATAGAGGAACTCTTGACTAATATTCGAACACAGGTTAGCTTGTGGCAGGTTGAGTTCCTTGCTGTTAGACTAATGGTTTTCACTTTGCAGGTCTTGTTGCGGTTGATTAAGCCGTATACCAGAATAAGGCTTCAGTATCTTTCACAACAATTACGAGTATCCATCGCGGAGGTGAAACGGCTACTGGTGGATACAATACTTGATGAAAGTGAGTGATTCTGACTACGATGAAATACTTTCGTCCGTGTTTCGTCTGCTTTTTTTCTCGTTACTTTCAATTTCATTTTTACTGCGCTTTTAATTGAGAGAATTTGCACAGTCACTGCAGGCCTTGATAAGTTCCATGCATCCTTTTCATCGCATTCTAATTCTGTAGAGTCGCCCATCTCGATTTGGCACTTCCCTTCCTCACCTTTTCCTCTCCATCCTCCTTCAACTCCCGATTTCCTCCATCTCTTGAATGTTGAGAAAACCTTTTCATTCGAGGTTCCAAGCCGAACTTTATATCGCTGTCATGAGCATCAAATCGAAAAAGTCAGAGAATAAATTGTACGAGATAACACGTCCTCCTATCTGATATACAAAAATGCATAGGAAGGTTACAGATGTAGGAATGGGGCATCATTGCACGGCAGCTCTCGCATGGAGTTCTTTTAAACGTACATGAAACCCGATACGGCGCTCCCTGAGGCGCTGAAGTGACTATGGATTCCTAAATGTTCGTTGTGAGCTTCACTCACGAAATGACTTTGCCTATTATCTGTCCTTCTTCATTTCTATCGCTAATTTCTGAAGTTTCTTCCTAAACAAGTGACTGTAAGGAAAGGTGTTTGTTTGGACATGCTCTTTAGTGTTTGTTACCTCAGGGGATGCTGTGACACCTGATGTCTGCTTTTCCGAGAATGTCCCTTTTTCTCTAGGTTGTCCACTTTTTTGATGAAGTCGAGGTTGACCTGCTGAATAGCGCTGATGCTAAAGACTCTTCAATCGACTGTAGATTTCTTTAGCTATTGTTCATAATCTTGTTCGATTGAGATTTCGGTGTTGCGGACTCCAAGCAAAAGTCAATAAATAGCACATTTTTCAGACCTTCCGGCACGTATTGATGAAATTGATAACATACTCTATGTGAAGCCGTGTTATGAACAGAAATTGGATTCGTCACTTTCAATTTCTGCTATGAATGGATGGATCGATCAGATCGACAAAGTGCTAGTAGCAATCACGACGCGTAACAAAGAGTGAGAGTAGGAGGCGCTCTTGTGTTTGTTAGTATCGAAGCGTTACTGTCTCAATTTCTTGCTTGTTCTGGTACAAATACGCGAATCTTTGCTGGTTTGAGGGCTGCGTGCTACGAAATGAGCTCTGTCATATCTGCTTATAAATAGGTGTTGTTCAGCGTTGAATATCATTTGAAAAGTCTCTAATCAAGAGGTTCGGTCTGGAAGAATAGTAAGAATTAGTTTTTGGAAGTTGTGGGGTCACAAGGATGTGCCCGGAATTAGTTGTGGATAGAAACTGCAGGTAACTCAGCACGGAACATGGCATCCAGCCATGCCGCAATGCGTAGTTACTTTGCACGGCACTTATATCAGTTATATTGACTTTTTGATTCTTCAAGCATCCCCAGTCAATATCACTCCTTTACCGATTGAGAGACTTTAGTTACAGCAGTTCATATGATGTGATGAAGAATGATAGTCAAAAATCTTCCGCAATATTCATTTCCGTTGATTTTTGTCTCGATTTAATGGTTGAATAAGTGTGTTTTTGTTTTTATTAGCTCTTGAAAATCTGGTATTCGCCTCCCTTGAGTTGAATGCTTCGTCGAAGTTTGTGTTTTCTATAGCTCGGTTTGTTTTCCATATACGAGTATACACGTACATGCAACTACTGCCTATACGTGTTCAGTGTACGATAAAATTGTTTTCTTCGTATCATTGTTTATATAACAAGGAATCTATCCTGTTTGGTACTTTCGTTGATTTTATTGCAGAATACATACTCGCTTAAGTAGTTTCCCTGCACCCCTAACTAATTTAGATGTCCAGGGATCAGCATGACTTGAAGAGAGAGTTAAATGAGTTGATTAAGAAACGTGCGGAGATCGCTGTGAGTTATTCTTGACTCAATTTATTTGATCGTTTTCTTTATTATCTTGATAACGGGCTGGTTTTTCTTAATTATGTGCTTGTCGAATAAGGATAGGCTCTCAAGAAATTGTTTAGGAAACTCTGGAGGCGTTAGAAAATCAAATATACAATTTTGAAGGGTCCTACCTTGAAGAGACTGCTGAGTATGGAAATGTCATAAAAGGTACGAGATTAGAAGATTCTTTTGCTTTTTGTTCCATTGAAGGAAGAATTTTTATGTTCGTCCTCTGTAGAACTTTTTTTTCAATTAGTTTTTTAATAAATGGTCGGTTTACAGGATGGGATCGATATGCTCTAGCTATGCCGCCCTCCAAATCAGGTGTAAAACTGGATAAGAAAACGCTATCTCGAAAAGCAGACAGGGAAGCAGATCGACTGTTCTCCTATTCCTCAGTAACGTCTCCAGCAGCGTTGAAACACGCTCAGCAGCCTCCTCCTCCAAGCATAACATCATCTGGAGCGCCATTGACTCCGACGATGATGAGAAATGATGTAATAGATGACGAAGCGGTGAGTGGTATATTACTTCTCCTTAATGCTCCTCCTTTTTGTTTGTATGAGGTATGATTTTCAGTCTCGCGAGATGAGAAGATCCAAGAAGCGGAAACTTGAAGAGCAGTAGTAACCGGGGCAGACCGCAGTTTCAATTACCCATTTTGATATGTATTTGGCCTTTGCTAAGCTCGCCAGGCAGCACCTTATTGTAAGACTAAGATTCATTCTGAAATGTTTATTATCAGATGATTAGGAATTTCTCGAGGGCAACTGTAAGTTATAGTAGATCTCTTCTTCGGCGGAACATTATATATGTTTTATGCACATTGTCTATTTTGTGAAACGTTCCCATGCACCGTTCTCAGTTACTTTTATTATCACTACTAGTAGAAAGTGTTTTAAACATGTACATTGTTGTTTTATTCTGTGAAATTGTATGTTCCATTTGATATACCCAATTAGGGCAGCTTCTCGAATAATGTGTGCAATAAATAAGTCACACTGATCGTCTTTTCTTGACATAGTGGTAAACTTTCCCACGAGTTTTACTTCTTATGAAAGAGAAAGGAATCGTGAAGTGATACTTAAGATCGATCGGGGTAGAATTGAACATCTCCTTGATTTCTTTTTAGTGTATACAGGAGAAGGTGTGAATACCTCTTCTCTTTTCCCTTCGCAATATTTGTTAGAGGTGGTAGCTTATATGGAGGAGCCGAAGAAGTTCCTATAGAGAGGCTCATCTTTTGTAGAGGGAACATTTGATTCTGTATCTTGTAGATAGGATGAATTTCCTTCCCTGTCTTTGCTCCGTCTTCAGCTGTTTCATGTTTCTAGGCCTGGTGTACGAATGCGTACTGCTACATCGCAGGACTCATTCCTCTATGTATATAGCTGTGACCTTACGGCAAATTTACAGGTACCATTGCAAATATAACATCTAATCACTAGCTGTGTCGAGAGTGTTATCTGAAATGTTTTCCAGGTGAAAATATGTGACTTCGAAGGAAAGTATCGTGATCCTCACAATCCGATTCGAAAGTTACGCCAACTTTGTGCACAGGCAACGGTGAGACTTCATTGCTCTTCGGAGTTTGAATCGGCTTCCTGTTAGTGAAAACAGTAATCAGTGTTGGCACGATTCGGCACCGGAGAGAGGGCTCTCCCATTGCCATCTCCTTGAAGGACTCGCTTGGCACCTCCCCCTATATCCCTCCACATTCACAATATTTTGTAGTGGAAATGTTCCGTACGTTACATTGTCATTTCCGAGCATGGGCATTCCAGGTTTACTGTAATGGACGTGCTGTTGGCTATTCCGTCATGACGTCCTTCAAACCTCCACCGGAGGAAGGTGACAGGTCACGAAACACACTCATACAGTCATGGGGCGAGTGGCTGACTTTGCCAGTGAGGTTGGTATTTGTAGTTGTAATTTCAGTATCAATTAGCTGTTTCAACAAAATCGTAGCTCGAAATTGCTTGCCCATAACTTAAATGCTATGGACATCTGAATCTTACCTGTTTTCGCCTCGTAATAATGATTACAGATCCCTTTAGTCAAGCATCATTTCATTTAGACCATACTACTGCTTACATTCTTTTCATTAATCAAACAGGAAATCGATTTATCGTAGTCTTTCAGTCCCGATATCCAGCTTATAACTGTAACCAGATGTCCAGGTTGCGCATCACCTTTATTTTTCTTCCGTTCTTCGCAACTGCTTTACAATTATACGGCGTGTTATTCCTAGAAATTAGCAATACGCTTTCAGGTATTGTGACCTCAGTCGCGATGCGTTCATTCATTTTTCGATTTGGGAATTGACATCCGGAACAGAGTCGTTGAGTTTGTTTCCGCATGAGGAAAAAAAGCTTTCGCCGGAAGGCGTACCACAACCTCTGCCGAAACGACTCGTCGCACAGTCTTCTTTACCACTGTTCAGCAAACGAGGTGTTCTGAAGTCTGGGACGCTTGATGTTCAAGTAAGTTACTTCACTCAATCAACCTATCATTTTGTAAATGAAAACGAGGAACGAAACTAGCAGCTGCTCCGGTTATTTGAGGGTGATCGAAGCTGTATTTCTGCTCTGTCAAAAATTAGAGCAAATATTTGCAATTCGGTCTTTCTGCAGTTTTTTGAGGGCTAGGGAACTGACTAGCTCAAGCAATTCTTGCTCACTGGTGCAGAGTGCTTGAGTAGACTGTAGTTGTATCTGTAAGAAGAGTGTTTCAGATGGAATTGTCGGAGGAGCTCGATCCACTACACCGGTGTGCAGAACAATGGAAGTGTCCAGATCCAAATGGTAGCCACTTAAGAGAGTTGCTGAAGCAGGTACATAATCACATGTGTTTAAGATTAAAATTATTCCCACTGTTAGACGGGAGAGGGTTGGCAACAAAACTAGCTGTGCTGAAGTATAATTCTCATCAAGGAAAATTTTTGGATGCTATTCTCATTGTGACTTTATGTTCTCGTACCGCTCTTAGCTACAGGCCTTTATAATTTAGGTATCACGCCAGCAGCGAAACTTGGTCGCAGAAGTGCCGTGGTTAGATCCGTTTACGTTCAGAAAGGTGGAAGAGCTGCGCAATAATGTCAGTCACTGTACCGCAGCTACAGACTTCTTTCTTCATAATTTGATTATTTTCATACTCTTCTTTTTTAGCGAAAGTTTGCTTCCACGCAACGCTACCTATTTCTTGTATTCAAAATGGCTTCTATCCAGTACGATCGACAGTATTACGACGTAGTTTATTACGAAGATCCAACTCCAGATGTGAGAATCGATATTCGTTTTCAGAGTGTGCTCTTAAGGGCCAATACGCTTTTATGCAAGAAGGCCAAGATAAGTCGGGCCTGCTATGGGTAGTTGCATTGACACGAGTATATACTTTTTGAGCACTAGGCTGTATCTACTTTGCTGCCAAATAACACAACACTATGATGAATATTTCTGAATTGTCGTGCTAAATTGCCTATCGGGTACAGTGTATAATTAGCGGTCTTTATGAAAAAACCGTACCATCGACGGGTACGGTGAGTACGGTGAGTTAGGTCTCCCAGATTTGTTCTTCAGAATATGTAGGCGTTCCTAGGAGCGGGATGTATGCGGGGGTTTACTTATTTGAAGCTGTTCAGCCTATTTGAGTGTGTGTCTGCTTCCCAAAATTTCTACATAACCCTTTGCAGCTGAGAATTGTTACTTCGATTGGTGGTGTTGGTGTGAGTGCGACGTCACGAGTATGCGATCCCGAATTGGGATTGGAAAATCTGGCAGAGACGAAACATAATGTGATGACAAGAAATGCCAGAGCAGGAGCTATGGATAAACAGCTGAAGCCAAATAAGCAGACAAAGGATCGGCTCGAGACAATTATTCGGGTGCTTTCATCTGGCTTTTCCAACAACTCTAAATCCAGTAATAACACTGACTATTCTTCCTTGATGCCACTTTTCTAGCTTCCATCGTCTCAGTCACTGACCCGTGAGCAACGAGATTTGGTATGGAAGTTCCGCTATTTTCTGCAAGCGGATCGCCGGGCATTGAATAAATTTCTTCGTTCAGTGAATTGGGATCAGCCCGGTGAAGAACAACACGCACTTGCATTACTCAAGTGAGTTACTCGGCAAGATTGAGTACCTTCCGTTATTGAAAAAGCAAGAACGAGTAGTCATTTGCAGCGACTGGACTCCAATAGAAGCCGAAGATGCCTTAGAACTTCTATCACCAGCGTTTACTCATCCAAGTGTCAGGTACATCTCGGGCGAGTCCATTCAATGCGATTTGTCTCTTCTGAAATGGATGTTTACAGGTGTTACGCAGTCTCAAGGCTTTTTGATGCCGCTTCACCTGACCAGGTGCTGCTATATCTGCCACAACTGGTGCAAGCACTCAAATATGAGCCGCTCCCCACGACTGATGCTGCTATCGTTGAGCAGGTAAACTTTAGTTCAATCTAAATTCCGTGGAAACTGGGCTCGTCGCTCTGAACCGAAAAGCTTCCCCTGTAGAAGTGGTACATGTTTAGTAGCCGATTAATGACAATAGGTGAAGGTTAAAGTAAGAAAAGGGGACTTTTTCAAGCCTTTGTGTTCTCTTCCATGGAGCGGTCAAGAAGGCGATCGCCCACGTTTTAGTATGGCATGGAACGCGAAAGCTTTGTGTTGTTGTTCTACCCTACTGTCGTCCTCTGTTTTCAGAAGAGCCTCGAGATAAAAAGTAGTTAGACTGACTTCTCGTAGTAGTTCAGATCGAATCGTGTTCTAATTCGCAGGCGACAGAAGCGACAGAGGTGGTCGTGCTAGAAGAGGACGAGATTGCTGCGCGAACCACCGATGATTTGGCATCGTTCCTCGTTAAGTAGGTCCATTCTAAGCGAGAATTTTATTCATTTTCTTATGTACGATATTTCAATGAAAAGTCCTAACCAGTGGTTCACTTCACTTTAACACGGCGAATTATTCTAGATGGATCAATTTTGTCACCCTTGAATGTTTTTTTGTGGCCTCTTTTGAGAATGTCTACATTACGTGTTTGATTTGTTTCCAGGTATGCGACAGGTTATCCAAAGGTAGCAAATTTTCTGTTCTGGCATTTGAAAGTTGAATCCGAAGCTACTCGTAAGACTGATGAAGCTCTCTCTTCGGTAAGTACTACATCTCTTTTTTGATTCTCAGCAGAATGTAAAAGAGTTTGGGACTGTCAGAGAAATAAGACGTTATTTTGCCTCATGTTCCGGAGAGAGCTACTGAGGTGTGGTTTTTGTCATGGCCGTGAAAATTGGAAGGGAGGGAAGATCCGACGTACTGGGACGTTGATTTGGCATAAATCTTTCGAGTAAATTGAGAGCTACTCAAGGACTGTCTTCTCGTAGCTAGACTGTCCAATATCATATTAGCGGTCCTCTTTCAGGGGCATTTTGGGTGCGCTTCTAATGAGAGTTTTGCAGACAATCACTTTACCTTTTGTAAGCGGGGCTGGTACCTGTCCCCATAGAAACCCTCCAACCTCGGTAGCCCTCGAGATATCAATTCAAATAATAGGAAATGATTGTCATGAATCGACAAAGACAAAAAAAGGTATTTCAAGGTGTACGAACGATTGCTGAGCCGTCTCATGCAAACATTGCAACGTGGTACACCGGAGATGAAGAGGCAAGCGGAAAGCTTGAGGATGCAGAGGGTATGTGCTATTTCACCACTACATATTCATTACTTGGTTTTTGAATAACGCGCGTTGATATGCTTGTTAATTGTTTATGAGGCGATCATGCGTGATTGTTGATCTGTTTAGCAATTTGTCGAAGACCTCAAAATCCTAATGCAAGAGGCAGCGAATAAGTATAGTCGTCGTGATTTACGTCAAGCTGCTCTCTGTACGCTGTTAAATAATGCTCGACACATGAAAGAACTTCGTGGATTGCACTTACCGCTTGATCCGAGTGTGAGGTAAGTAGAATAATTAGTTAAGAATAGCAAATTGTTGTTCATTGTTCTGTCACATTATAGGAAAAGTAGAGTGGTGAGACATCCATGCGCGGTCCAAGTTCTCATCGAACACATTTCCCAGTTCTATATAAGTGAAGAGACGTTTATGCGGTCCATTCAGTCGAATTCCATTAAATTATGGTGTCTCTCGGTGACTTGTACCTGGTTTAGAAAGAGATTTCCCCAATGTTGAAACAAAAATTAGGAACATATATCGAAAAGACCATATTGGTGTCAGAATAGAAGCAGAGGATAATTGCATGGAATAGGGTATTACGCATGAAAATTATTTATTTCCGGCCTTACTAACAATGCCAACCACATACCGTACGTAGTATGTTTCAGTAAGGCGCACGGTTCTCTGCACGCGTCTGTGACGAATTGTGTCGCGACTTTATCTGCTATTATTGGTGAATCTACTGCGGAGGTGGAGTAGTGGAAGTGGTGCAATACCTCACACGTACGGTCGCGGGGTCAAATCCTGGATCGATAGCTCTCCATCCCTCGGTCGGTTAATTGGTGCCAAACTCGTCTAGGTGGATTAAAAGTGCTGACTCGTACATCGGCTGGCCACCGCAAGTCATTGTATGAGCCACATACACATTCAATACGCCACTACGATTCTGAATGGAAGTTGAGTTGGTGGGCACATCCCTCAGACGGGATTGATGATGCCCTAAGACTTTGAAGGGATAAGACCTCATTGCTGAAACTCTCCTTTTAAGGCTTGCTGGTGTAATGCCAGATTCAGCTGTACTGTTCAATAGTGCAATGATGCCCGTTAAGCTGACGTTCAAAACAATAACTGGTACGGATACCAATAAGGAGTACACGCTCATTTTCAAGCAGGGTGATGATTTGAGGTTTGTTTGGCTAGAATTCTTCTTAGCCTTTAAACTGATTCGATTTTTCTGGAACGGTCTAGTGGTAGAATTTCCTAGATGTGAGTCGATTACAGGCAAGACCAGCTAGTCATACAAATGTTCCGGCTTATGGATAGTCTTTTTAAGAAAGATCAGCTCGATTTGAAGTTAACACCATACGCAGTGAGTTTGATTTTCCACCGATTTCGGAGGTTACTGGAAGACCCTCCGTGTTGAAGACGGAGTAATCTTTGCTCGCTTGCTGGTATACGTGTTCTGATGACTTTCAGGTATTATCTACCGGTGTAAATGAGGGATTTGTACAGTTCGTCAAGGCGAAACCGCTCAGGGAAATTATCAACACTTACAAGAGATACAATACGGATAGCATAAAGGTTTACATATGTTTTTCATACTTGTACTTAAATTGGAGTTCAAGGGTGTGTTTATGTTTATGTGTTATGGGGAGGAATGGGTAGTCAACTTCTGGTCAACTTTTATTGTCTTTCGGTTTTTTAGGAAGCAATGAAAGAAGCTCGTCCAGATGCGCATGGTCCTCTTGGAATTGAAGCTAATGTAGTGGATAATTATGTACGGTCACTGGCTGGGTAGGATTTTACAATTACTTCAACAGCACTAAATTCTTTGGACTCTTCTTCAGTGGTGTGAGTGAATGGGCGGAGTTTGTGTGCTTGCCTCTCGGCGATAGCCCGAACTCCGCCCACCAACTCTCGACATGTCATTTTTGCATCACAATTTGAATTATTATTCAAATATTAATTGTTTTCCTTACCAACTGTTTATAGAATTTTCCATGCAGTATGAACGTTGTTTTAGGTACTGTGTGATGTGCTACGTTCTGGGAGTCGGTGATCGCCATTTGGACAACTTACTGCTGTGTGAAAATGGTCGCATATTCCATGTTGACTTTGGGTTCATACTTGGACGCGATCCGAAGCCACTACCACCGCCGATGAAGCTAACTAATGAGATGCTTCAGGCGATGGGTGGCATTAAGAGGTAGTTTTTTCAGTACACGTTACGAATCGGGGACGTGGGTCGAATGGACCTCTGCCTTTTTGGCTTCTCGGAAACAGGATTAGCGGTTTAGATTACTGTGTGTAGGTGGTGAGAGTTTTCCAGGGCGAGCTAGCCAATTCTCACGAAAACTTGGTTTAAAGTGGGTCAAAAGTAGAAATAGGAAGAACAAAGTGGGACATTGTGGTTTGAACGGAACCAGAAGTGGTCCTATTTCAGAAACTTAGGGTCAGCAACAGAGATCCCATCATCGATTCGGGAGATTTCTGGATTAGAATATGAGGATTCCATATTGGAAGTGGAAGGGAGGGAGGCGTTATGAGGGAAATAGCAAAGCTTTCACTTGTTTTCGTTCTCGGAAAGAGTTCCGAAGGCATGGCGTATCCCCAAAGATCCAATCAGGCGGAATCATTGTATAGCCTGGCCTTTGGGCTTTACGGATCACTGTATAAACCTAGAGTATATGCTAAAGACGTACAGAATATTTTAGCGAACATTTTCGTCATTTTTGTATGCACTGTGATTCGGCTTACCGTATCCTTCGTCGCCATGCTAACGTCATTCTGAATCTGTTTTCTTTGATGCTGGACGCCGGTATTCACAATATCTCCGAGGAACGAGATAAAGCTGTATTCAAAGTATGTTTACAGTAGATCTGTCCTCATCGAAATATTTTTTATAAAAATCGAATGAAATTCAGGTAGAAGAACGATTGCGATTGGATCTGAGCGATGAAGCAGCTTCGGTACATATTTTTGGAGTGATCGAGACGAGCATGAACTTCCTCAGCATGAATGTCGGAATCGTGATGGATGTGCTACACGATTTGAAGCAGAACCTTAGCTGGTAGATTTGGGACATCCCTACGTCGGTGCAGTACTACTTCAGTACTGTATCGTAACTGCGTGGGGGACTTTTCTTCATTCTTTCTTTAATCGCTCTTGTATCAACTGTCTAGTCGATTTTTGTCCGTGAAGGTCTGTTCATGCGCGAAGCTTCCCTCCTAAATTGTTGTCGTGCTAAGGTGAACGCAATAGTAATCAGATATGAAGGTGGTTTTTCATGCATAGTCCGCTTAAAGGGCGGAGGTGGTGCAGTGGCATGTGGCGCATTTTACACACGCATAGTCATGAGTTCGAATCTGGCACGAATCCACCCAGGCCAACCAAGCTTTCCATCTCTCTGGGGTCTATTAATTGGTACCAGACACGTCTGGGAGGATGGAAGTACTGACTTAAGCATCGGATGGCCACCGCATGTCATTGTATAGGCCAGATACGCATTCACTACGCCACTACGATTCTGAATGGAAGTCGAGCGCGGGGTGTATCCTAAAAACAGCACTGACCCCAAAGGACATAGCCCTTATATCTGCTGTAATATCCCTTTCGGATGGCAAAGCGAATACGAGATCAATGGGATGAACATAGGTTTCCTGGTGGCTTGACTCGCTCACTCAGCGCGACAACCTCCTACGTTGCCTTTTTTTCTTGCATTACGGTATGCGCTACGGTATTGTACTGTAGAATTCTATCGTAATGGAGGTCTCCTCTCGAAATAGGAACATTTCTCCGAAATGCTTGATTTTGTGATTCTTTAATTGAGGCTTAGCTTGAGCTGACTGGATAGAATGCGATTTAAAAAGCTAGTTGTTTCTGCTATTTCATTGTACGCCTTTGTTTTATAAGCGGGCCTACACTTAAAAGTGTTCAAATATGGTGGGGTGTATGCGCGCGGTTGCAGAGCGGTCACCAACATTGACAGTCACCCCGCAGCCGCGTGTGCTTTCTGTCCTCTCGTCAGTTACTGTTGCCTTCGTGAAGTGTTGTTTCTTGCATTGATTCTATGTTGTTAGAATTTGTACAGAATGTAAATATTCATTCATAAATAATCGATTACATCAGATAAAGAGGTGCTATTCGGCCTCGGGATTTGCCCAGAATCGGCTCATTTCCATTTCGTGCATGTAGATTCGACTGAGCATCGTTCGTCGTGCATATAAGTCATTCTTAGCACGTTTGTATATCTGCGCATAAAATGATGCGATGAGATGACCAAGGAATAGCAGTTGAAAAAGGAGAATGAAACCCAGCATAAACTGAAAGTACAGCATTGGAAGACCGGGTTTTGCTTGCGACTTGGAAGAATGGAAGGGTCCATTATAGAGTTGTTTTCGAGTTTTTATTTACCATTTTTCGTGGATAAGACTGATATTTGGAGCTGCTGCTGATCAGGGAGCTCCTACTAATGACTAGTTCTGGGCTACACCGAAGTGCATATGATGGATATTGATTAACTGCGTAACAATTTAGCCTTATATGTGCATTGTTATACATAATGGGCCTGATAGTGATTACTGATAACAACAGATAGCTTGGGGGAATGGGTGGGAGTGGTTCATTTTTCTAGGTAACGTTACTCATCACAGTCGCATTATAATGGCGTAAGTTCCGTTACTTCGTCTTCGTAACCTATGTGGGGACTCTTTCATGTTCATTTCAGCAAGAAAGGGCCAGGTCTAGGACCTATTGCAATTCTACCTGACATTCCATACAAGAAAACAGAAGCAACATTTAGAATGACAAAGGAGGTAAAAATTTTAGATTATTTAGCTGGGACCTGGGAGCTCTCACCGCAGTCTGTTTAAAGTTCTCATAGGTGGGGGAAGACGCAGTGGGTGCAGCTCCACGCTCATAATCTTTGCCAAACACCTTGGTAATCAGAGCTTGAGCCGCGGGGTTCAATAGTATTCTTCAAAGTTATCATCAAAGTCAAAGTCCACCGCTGTTCACGGGGCAAGCTGAGAAGTGAGGTCAAAGTGAGGCTATGGCAAAACGCATCGGAAATGGAGCCCTATCACTGGTGAGCATTCTCACAAACACCAGTTCGCTACCCGGTTCATGGTTGTGTCGTATCAACACTCAAATGGATCTAGGAATCTCGATGATAAGCGTGTGCGTGGCGCACTCCAAAAAGGTCATTTAATGCTGAAATCATCGAGGCTATCCATGTACTGCGAGCATTTCAGAATGATATCGACGTTGGTGACAATATGATGATTATGAGTATTCAAGCTAGTGCGGCTCCTAACTGTGCTGAGCTTATAGCAGGTGAGGCTGTCGCACTACTTCCTTGTATGTGTTAATCTCTTCTGTACGTACTGTTTACGTAAAAAGTGAACAAAAGAAAACTGGGACATCGTTGCGAGCACTGGAAACATCCATTTTTATGGGCCTTTTTCCAGGTGATCGTATCACAAAAGTTAATGGTCAACCGGTAAAAAATAAAGCCGAATGTGTTGCAGCGTTACGAGCAGCACTTGGAAATGATGTAGGTGGCTATTTCTATTGAGCTTTTTTCTTCGAAATGAGAGCTCAAGCGGAAAACAACCTTTCAGTCGGTTTGAAATACCTGAACTTACCACAAAAGAAGGCTCGCGTTGCCCTCCTTCAAGACCTCCCTTGAAATTTGGAAAAACCGTCTAAAATATCAATTTTTCCATGCTAGCTTCACCTTTTCGTTGGTACTGCTTGTTAAGTTAGACAAGATGAAGTCGCTGTTATTCAGCCTTGAATAGTCACAGTGAAGAACAAAAAGTCCCGGGCTGTAGCCACAGATCAAGCTACTGCCAGATTTTGGAAGATCTCCGGCCTTAAGGATTCATGGTGTGCAGCCATAATAAACTCACAGCTGCGGTGGACCTAAGCCAAGTATCGTCGCCATCATAAGCCGCGTTCAAAGCGATCAAGCATATACTAGTTCTCTCTGAGGTTCATGGTATGAGCATCGGTTGTTCAATGGGGCCTTAATTCGTTGCATGGGCAGATATCCATTTGAAGACATTTATTCTGAACGAAAATGGATTGGGTTAGGGTCCCTGGGTTGTGCATATAATTCAAGATTTTCTAAACTTCTGCTTGTACAGTTAGGAGGAAAAGGAATTGTGATAGGAATACTTATGAGGTTACAAACTGGGTTCTTACTCGATCAGCCGATTTGTACTACATTAGCTAGCATAGAAGCACCACATAAAGAGTGGCTTCTTGGCCTGTGCCAAGAAGCCACTCTTTCTCCCTTCTTTTCAGAAAAAAAGCTGAATGGTCAGGGAGAACGAGGGACTTATGAGCGTAAAAAAACTTTCCCGGCCTCCTGCGTATTATCAAATTATTACAGATAAGAGTCGAACTGCTTCGTCGCCAGCACACCAAACCGTTGACTCCTGACAGAGCAAAAAAGATCAACTTACAACGTTTGGAAGGCTTCACTTACTTTTTAATTACATGTGTTAAGGTATGTACTGGTCGTTGTTGAAAGGGAACTGTTTACTAGATGGCCTAATGACAGAGAGGTTCTATTTAGGAATCCACTGATCCCGTTTCATCATTTGGATTCACTCTGAAATTACTAAAGAATCGAGCTCATGTCATTGCGGTAATTCTGGTTTTAAAGATTTGCAGAAGATATGTCAGGAAAACCAAGGGATGCCCACCATTCCCGAAAGTGTGAGCCCTAGCAGTGCCGCACGCGTGGTCGTGGCGCTACGCGTGAGCACGAATCGATACGCATTTATACAACCCAGGACACGACAAGGTTGACCCACTCTTACAGACCGGATTAGTCTTGGTTCGATTCCATTTAGAGTCTTCCGAATAATCACGGAAGTGGAGATCGCGCTGGGCATATCTGGGCTGAACTCTCTGGCATTCCCTATAGCTGGAACGTCGAAGTTCGGTGTAATGTAGTGGGGTATGGATTGAATAGGGTTGAGCAGGGGTAAAGGGGCAAGCCGTTAATGTTTCATTAGTCCACACTGCCCGTTGACCACATACTGAAGCTTAGGATTCTGGGTCGCCGCGAATCATGACTGTAGTTAAACTGGTACGTAGTAGATGTTGCTAAGGTCGAAAACATACTGCCCCTCTACATTTCATTTCCACCAACTGATTCCTTGTATTGCAGCTGGATCCTAAAGGCATTGCATCCATTTATTTCTGCATTGGAGATGCTCTCCTTGATTTGGACGGTACACCGATTCCTTTCAATGATATCGAATTCGTCCGTGGATATACGCAGAAATTCAACAAGTTCGTTTAGTTCAGTCTCGGAGCGAAAAGAGGTTTTTCATGTAGGAGTTACTGCATCCAGATGAGTCTGGTACCAATTAACTGGACCCGGAGAGATGGAAGGCTCGGTTGACTTGGGCAAGTAGCAGTACGGGGATCGATCCGTGGATCTGCGTGTTATAGGGCATTACCTGGTGTGGTGCTACCACCTTAGCTCCTCACCCCGAAAACATACTTCCAAAACTTACTCTATCTACTCCTAGGTTTGAGAAAGGTGAGATGGAGGTTAGTTCTTCCGTAGTGCGCCATGTCCATGCGCCTGGGTGGCTTTCACATGGAGTTTAAGAGATTCCTGGGAATGCTTCCAAGATGTTGTCATTACGAGTTCACCCTGTTTTTCGTGGTTGGATGGTTGATAGCCAAGAATGCGACAAGTCTCCTAAGAACGAACACATTGGTGGAGTAAAGACTGTGCTTTCAAAGACGTCATGTTCTTGGGCTCTAAACCTTTGAAGTATCGGCTTAANGTGCGCCATGTCCATGCGCCTGGGTGGCTTCCACATGGAATTTAAGAGATTCCTGGGAATGCTTCCAAGATGTTGTCATTACGAGTTCACCCTGTTTTTCGTGGTTGGATGGTTGATAGCCAAGAATGCGACAAGTCTCCTAGGAACGAACACATTGGTGGAGTAAAGACTGTGCTTTTAAAGACGTCATGTTCTTGGGCTCTAAACCTTTGAAGTATCGGCTTAAACCTGCCTATGACAATGTGATAGAAGCCCTGTCGGTTAGAAATTCCAAGGCGGTTTTTCAGAAATGGCCGATTCACTGTGGTCATCGAGCGTCCCATTTCAAAAGAGGCATTGTTCATGTACAACATGTTGTTCAAACTGATGGTGGGTGGGCTTTCTCCTTCTCATCCTTTCTTTTAAGCTTAAAAGTAAAAAGTAGAGAAATCTTGTCACTGGTACTAGAAAGATGTATCGTGGTTCGTGGCGAATTCCGCGGGATCTATACCGAAGGCTGCGGTAGGCGCTAATAAGGGCCTCTATCCAAGTACCCATCCGAATCTGCTTCTGAGGCAAGCCTCTTACCTTGCCTAACTAACTACCTTCCTATTCCAAGTGCTTCAAAATGCTGAACACCCTGCAAAAGCTGCTTAGTATACCGGAGAAGATTTCCGGTGACTTTATTCAGTTTCGACAGCACACCCCTTCTTTACCTGCCCTTATTGCTGCCAGAATCTCTTCAATGATCCCTCAATGGGCCCTTTTCTATTTCATTAGATCAATTCTTCTCGATTGTGTCACCTTCCTGTAGCCCTCCCTTGCTAGCAACAGTACCTTGTAGGACAACAATCGCTGAGAACGGATGATTTCAGCTACCACAAGAATCAGACGTTGAAATGGGACCAGATGCAGTGCTCATTGGCAAGGTGCGCTTAAGCCACTTTTACGTTTTATGGTCTCGACTGACTCATGTACTTAGCAATGGGTATTGATTTTGCGCGCGCATAATCGATATTCAATCAGATATGACATGAGCACTTTAGCGATTAGGCATGTAACAATGATAGCGGCTTCAGAAAATCATTTGAAAGCATTGATAAAACAGAATGTTCAGGAGGCAGCCAATATGCATCGCATGGTGTTCCGACGATTGAAACCGAGAAGTGTGTACGGAACAAAACCACGTGAGCGATTTATTCCTTCAGCCTTTCCACGTTTAATGGGAAGTAGTCTTCAAAAGCTATTCTCAACCTGTGTTGCATGAGAAACGCTATATCTCAACCCCTTCGGTTTGCTGAGAAACAGCGCAAACACCCAACCGACTCCTATTTATGTAGTTGACTGCAACTATACTAGGCGAATGCTACTACGCTGCAATCCGCACAGTATGAACCTAATCTCAGGACAATTCATAGTCGGATACATCTCGCTGCCTCATGCCTTGTTTCAGTACCGAAATATGATCCGACCACGAGGACAATGGATGTTTCGGAAAAGGCTAAGAACATTCGTGTAGCGGTGAGTTCTATAGAGTCAAACGACAGATGTATACTTCTACCATTAGGGGAAAGTGAATGTACACCATGCTGTGGGGAAACGAGCTGGTTAAAAAACGTCCATCATGTGATCGAGCGAAAAGGGAATAAATTCAATCGACGCACTGAAACAATCCATAAAGGGCAAAACCTAATGGTAAGAACAAACCACAGGTCCCAGTCCTATTGTAAGGCGGAATGGACGCAGTTCCAATCGCACCATAGTCCAAAGATCGAAGCCTGGATTGTTCCCGTGCCGAGCCACTTACCAGTTAGGTCTTCCATCTCTCCCGGATCGGCTGACTGATACCAGACCTTTTGGGAGGATAAAAGCACAGGCCTGTACATTGGCTGGGGCCATTGTATAGGCCACATATGCATCAAAAGGCCTTTGTGTAAAATGAACGTCGAAAGCGTGTGAGCATCCCAGAAGCAGATTCATCAACGCCAAAGGCAAGACCTTATCCTTTTATCCTGTATCCCCTGCGATTATGAAGCAACGGTCTCGATCTTGCATACTGGAGCGATCTCCAGGTAATGCCGGGAATCCTCTAGATTCTGATGGGTATCGAAGGCAATATTTACAGAACTGAAGAAAATGTGGTCAGGCGCTTGAGGAAGCGATCTGCAAAAGTTTCGCTACCTCAGTGGTGGTGTACATAGTCAGGTACCGAACGCCAGTGTCATTGAACCTTCCCCCGTAACCCCACCTGTGGCATCCCACACGCGCTGAATACGCGCGCGGATATGTCCAGGAATCAGGACTCTTGAGCAAAAACGTTTTGTTGTTACAGTCAAGCGCAATGGAGCTGAAAATCGCGTCAGACATTGAAGACGAAGACGAATTGAAGCCTGTGGACAGAAAGAGTCATGCTAAAGACTTTACGTTTGACGATTTCTAGACATCACAATGTACTAACACTTACTGTATATCATTGATGTCATTGAATCATGCGATACAACCTAAATCGTATTCCAAAACAAGGAAAATGATTAAATTTAATCGTTTTGTACATGTAACCCACTCACTTCCACATACATACTGTCTGGGATGACTTCTATCATAATCCATTGGTTTGAACTTTCACAAGACCACATGGTGTCCAGCATATAAGGGAAAGAATCTCATAAGCTTTTTTGGCTGACGTTTCAGTAAAGATTGGTTGATTCTGTAGAAACCCTTAGAGCAGACTGTTTACCATGAAAACCTGCATTACTAGGGTGCGGTTGTTGTTAATGCCTGGTTTTGGATCCCGCGAAAAATTCTCGTTTCCCCTTTAAAAGTGCAAGAACGGGTATTAGTCCCATGTCAGTCCCCGCTGTCACATCATCTTGGCATTGCATCTTGAACATCTCCAGATTTGTCCACAAATTCATGTAAGCCTGTTTCCATCGGAGGACGTCCTCGAGGACTCAGCGGATCAAAGAGGTTTTGGCAGAACTTTGAAATTCCGCTGTGATTCTTTCATTCACTTTGAAAACTGGAAAAACAGTCAGAATATGTTGGCTACGCTGGGAGTTGGGTACAGCTCTACGATTTACAGGAACATAACATTTATGTAGAAATTAGGGGTTTTCGAACTCAAAAATACTTAAGAATCGTCCGAAATTTCAGGTATTTACCCATTACATACCCTTTATTTGGCCCAGTAGTACAAAAGTTTACCTCACTGAACATGGCGCTTTCGTGAACTTGCTGTTGTACTCATAAGTATAACTTGATAGACGGGCCATTCAGGAGATATCCCTCAGAGAATTGGTTCGAGAACTGCAATTCTAAAGGCAAGAATAGGCCATTGTTATGGTAGGCGGTGAATCTGAACGGCATTCTGTGCAACGAGACAACTAACTAAAGCATGAATTGCGGCAAGACAACTAGATAGGGATGCTACTGTGAGCAGCCACAACTTGTCACCCCCTCCCTCCCCGCCGCTTTGCTCTCCCTCCCCCTTCAGGTTTTTAAATCTCTCTCCGCCACTTCCGACCAATATGATGTGACAAGATTGGAATAAATTCGATAATTCAGGGATAAAGGATTGAAAAGAGCCGTCCAAATGATCTGGACAACCGTGGCAAGCCACAGGCCAGTGCAAAACTTTTGCTTGTGCCCTTTGCTGGCCATTTGTCAGCCGATCGGTGCTATAAATATAAGTCTTCCGCTTGAACCGTTGGCAGGCGAACAGGTCAGAATGAAGAGCAGCACCCTCCTAACGGCCGTCATGGTCATCCTGGCTCTTTCCCTTCTCACCTCCACCATTTGCATTGCCCATTTATTTGTCGATATCAGCACGTTCTACGATGATATCATGCAGGATGCCAGTGAATTCAAGGTCAGCTTCTTTCCGTTTGAACCTCGCTTGAATTTGGTTGCCTTCAATTTTTCGGATCCTACTATCTCGATTTCTTCCAGGGCACTGCAGACGATACTTGGGACCTGATCATAGGCTTAATGGCAGTTCCCCCTGGTGGGCGAGAAAAGCGTGATAACGGAGAAGTGCCTCCGTGTGCGAAGGTCAGTTGCCCTCCTGGCCCTGCAGGCCCTCCAGGAATACCGGGAGAAGCTGGCATCGATGGCGAAAATGGAGAGAATGGGATGCCGGGAGAGACTGGGTTGATAGCCGAGTACGAAGGAATTGATGAAGCCACTGGATGTTTGAGATGCCCGAGTGGTCCGCCTGGTCCACAGGGTCTTTCTGGACCTACTGGAAGCCCTGGTCCTCAAGGCAGCGAAGGCGCTCGAGGGCAACCTGGAGAAAATGGGGAGAATGGATTGCCAGGACCAAGAGGTGACGCGGGTCCTGAAGGGCCTGCAGGATCGGCCGGAACAAGGGGACCAGCTGGTGAATCAGTGCAACGTAAGAAGCCGGTAACTGGCCCACCTGGGCCAGCCGGTCCTCCCGGACGACCCGGACTCCCTGGGCAGCCGGGCGAGAGTGGTGCGCAGGGGATTGCCGGTTTGCCAGGGCCACCTGGGCAACCAGGCAAGAGAGGAATTGATGGAAAACCAGGATATGGAACAAGCGGGCTACCAGGACCTGATGGAGATTACTGTCCATGTCCGCCTCGAGGAGAGAGTTCCATTGAATCTACAGAACCAAGCTCCACGGATAAAACAGAACTTTCTGATCCTGAAGGCTTTGATAATATTGGTGCTGAAGGAATGATTGAACTATCTGGTGATGCTGAGGGCGAAGATGCTCGACTTACTAGACGTTAATTCCTATAAATTTTATTTATTGTAGTTGTAATTAAGTAAATAAAGTTGCTTTTATATTGATAGTATGAGGTACAACATATTGTGGAGTATGGCAAGTGCATCAAAAGAATAAAGTTCAGTACAAAAATCGAAAAGGGTGGAGGCGGAGTCTGTCTACCTCCGCCCATATACTGATCTTAACTACAAAATATTTTCATGAAAAAGATTCTCATAAGGTAAAAGGTATAAGGCCCCGGGCGTTCGTTATTCCCATTTTGAGATGGGCCCCGCATTCGACTTCCATTCGAAATGGTAATGGCGTATCGAATGCGTATTCGGCCTATACAGTAACTTTTAACTAGCTTTGGCCAACCGATGTGCCAGTCAGTGCTTTTGTCCTCCCAGATAGGTATCGGTATCGAAAAACCTGCATCCGAAAAGATGGAAAGCTTGGTTGGGCGACTAACGATCCGTGATTTAAGCTCTATGCCATGCGCGTGTGAAGCTGTGGGCCCTTACGCCTCTGAAAAAGAAAACGGAAAATTGTATTTTGGGAAAGGTATGATCGCTCTCATGTGGGAAAATTCCACTAACTGAATCTAAAAAAAATCAGCGGGCAATAGACATGGCTTTCTCACGGGCCATCTGACACCCACCCAAATGAAGCAGTGCATAGATGTTTCGCCTTAAGAAGATAATTTTGAATGAAATTCGAGTACGTAGGTATAAACTTGAAGAACGGCTAGCCCCAGACACTTTATTATTGTCCCATTTATCTGACCAGCAACACATTAGAAGCTCTGCTGGTCTGCACAACTTTCAGGTTACAGTACAGGCTGATACGGTATTTCAAGCTGCTATCACTCTCCTTCATCACTATATAAAGTGTTGTTGTTTAGAATGGACCATGTTCGACTTTCTCTAAATCTCGGCTAGCTGTTGTTGTCTAGCTATACCAATTATAGTCATGAATAAACCTTTTTTGATTTTCTAATACCAGATTATCGTATTTGATCGACACCGCAAATCCTTCGTCGTATAGATGACATGACAGGAACCCGTTTCGACGAAGCAGTTAGGAGGTTTCAATCTGGGAAGAAAGGGCTCTACCCACTCATTAAAAGATCAACAGATAAACGCTTCAACTTCGAAGTTTGCAGTTTTTCAGGGACAACAGCGCAGTGAGGGTCCGTGAACAAATACAAGTTGTAAATTAGTTGTTAAACTAGTGCCGTCTCATGAAATGAAGGCGTCTGCTCTGTGAACACCCTTCCTCTAATAAGGAATGAAGGATAAAGTTCTCAGGCGTGAATTGGTTTTGTCCGGGATGGGATGCGCCATGCATTCGACTTCCATCAGAATCGTAATGACGTATCGAATGCATATGTGGCTTATACAGTGAACTGCTATGGCCGGCCGATGTTCAAGCCAGCAATTTTAATCCTCCAAGACGAGTTTGGTACCAATTAACCGACTTCAGCGGAATGGAAGCCTTGGTTCGACTAAGCGGATACCCATCCGGGATTCAAACCTATGACATGCATGTGTGATAGTGCGCCATTTGTCACTACACCACCTCCGCCCTTCTAAAGCGGAGTGAAGATGTTATGGGAATTCGTACATTGATTGGATTTCCCTTGGTTTAGGAGCATACAAATAACTTAATCGTAAGGCATAGTGTGGTGTG